GAACGAGATACGAATCGTTTCCACGAAATTCACGCAGAATCGTGGCGAACCGCGTGCCTCGGGAAGAAATGATTTACATTCGAGGTAAATCATTCGATGCCCGCGCTCGTTTCAAACTTTTTCCTCCCATCCTCTTCCCAGTTCGAGATATAGAAACTCGAAAGGGAGATGGAATGTATTGTGAGGTTTTATATATATAGGAGGGAGGGGGATTCGTGGAAAAAACAATTCTTCCATATTGAGTGATTTTAACTTTGAAAGTGATAGCATCTGTTCTTAGAATTTTGTCCTGGTTGTAGGGAATAATATTTAAAAGAAGTTTCGTACGTAGGATGCCTGTAAAGTATTCCAAAGTTTTATTTGTTTTAACCGATTTGTTTTACTTGTACTATGTATATTTCGATCATCGAATTTACAATGGTTATAAATTTATGAATTCAAGACAATGCACGGGTTTAATTGTTTTATTTGCACCTGTTAGCCTTTGCTCAAACTTTAAGGAAGGAATTCCAATCTAGGTTAAAGAAGAGTAATTACAACTGCTTACTGTTTATGGAGGCTGGAATTTTGAATTTTCTGTAAATTGCTGTTTTTGAATTTGGTTTTCATGTATTCTCAAATTTAATTAAACTTATATCCGTAATTTTATTATAATACACTTGTTTTCTAAAAGTACCAAAAAATATTTCAAATAAAAATTGAATAGTTCCAAGTTTGATATTAACATTTTTATATACTTTTAAATTTTTCAATAAATAATTATCTATTCCTTGGTATAATCGAGTCTTGAAAACAATCTTGAACAAGGTTGCATATAAAACAAGTTACTCGGTTATTACAAATTTGTGAAAATTTGATACACTTGATCATATTCCTCTCGCCAATTTTATCGTACAAATATTAATCAATTGTAATAATCTGTACATATTTAAAAGATATTCGAAGATGAGAAACATACGTGTCTATGAATATAATTGAGAAAGGAAGAGGAGAGAAAGAGAGAGAGAGAAAGAAAGAGAAAGAAAGAGTGAGAAAGAGAATGAATACAAGGAAAATTAAATTAAATTTAAATTAAGCTCAATTAATTAAGCCGCTTCCCCCATGGGAACACGGCTTCTGTGCCCGGTTGCTACCCCTAAAATTCACCCCGGGACGTAGGTAGGGGGTCGGTTGAGAGGGTAGTGATCCTTGTCTAGAGCTGGATACAGAACTAATCTCTTTTAAATTAGTATTAAATTCTAAACGGGTTCAAGTTGGAGCACGGTGGTTATTAAATTCCAGCATGCTATCGCCAAGTGTGCTTTTGACCAAACGACGTTGTGACATCTTATGGTTTCATACATAGAATATATAAATCATAAATATCATGATCTTTCTCTTCTCTTGCGTTTAGCTTATAATCGTCAAAAATTTGCAATTTAATCTTATTTAAAAATCATTTTTGTCGTAACTATATTTTTATAAATCTTCAATTGTTCTAATTCTTCTCTCGTTTATTAAACGTTGATAAAAATCATTTGTCCATTTTCCTATTTTTTTGCGAGATATGAATTGTATCTGTATGACTAGACCAGCTGCCGTACAATTGCATCGCACAGACTAGGAACGACATCGTTTTTTATCAGTCGAAAATTTTAATTTCTCTTCTCGGACTCATTATTGGCGGGACGCGCATGGCCGTGATTCTTTTGCAGCAGAGCCAATATCGCGAAATTTATAAGACAAAGTACCGCTTCCATATTGCACACTGTGCGACGTAACTGCTTGCTTAAACGCATACATACGTTTGCCGGATACAACGAGTCAGAGCGCAGCCAACTTCCGTTTCTATGGGGCGATAGGATGATTCGAAAACTCGTTCGAATCGCTTGCTGTAATCGTATATCTCTCATAGCCATTATATCTCACACAGCCATTTGCACTTTTCAATGGTGGAACAGATTCTTGTTATGCAATGTTGCGATATATTATTCTATTATAACATTTCTATTATAATAAGAATTATATTTTAAATATTTTAATATTTTCAATTTAATTTGATGGAGTTTTAAAATAAATTATGTAATAGTTATGCTTATTTTTGGAATTTGTTGAAGAATCTAAATGATTTTATTTTGAGTTCTTTGTTTTACCGATAAAAAATATATATATACTAAAAGCGAATAGAATTTCTGAAAAGAAATGGAATCCAAGTGGAAGAAGAATAATAAAAGACAAAAATATGGTAATAATTCTCACATATGTTAAATTTTCATAATAAAAATTTAAAAATTGGCTGAAATTATGAAACAGCCTAACCATAGGCGAACTTTGCTAACATTATTCCTTGAGAAAAAATGACTTCACTGACTGTTTGAAATTTTCAAATCGCAAAAATTATGGCACGACAAAAACTTCGCAACGTTGAAACAAACCTCCATGAAGTCTAAAAAATGAATTCGCTTAGTAAAGGAAAGGCAACATGGTCATACATTTCAGACGAAAAGATCCACTTTTCCCCTTTTTCTTTCGCTGGTTGTAAGTATTGCATGCAACTATAGAGGGTGCTCACGCCCTCGTTTAATACTTCAAGGCAAAAGTAATGCACTCGCGGACTCTTTAATATTACTAATTCAGTAAAAGGAATAGCGATTCTCTGTTAAAGCGTTACAAAGTGGAATAAAACGAGAAGTTCCCCTCATATTTTTGCAAACGAAAGGCAATTGTACGATCGTTGCATTTTTTGAGCTAGATTTTACAGCAATTTATTTAATTAACGCTTTTAAAGAAATTAGACAATTTAAAGAAATATTTGCATATTCTACTTTCTTCCATTCCATTCTTTTGAATATTTTAAACTCTTAAAAAGTTTTTATTTCTGTTTTTTACACACTTTGTTATCTCTGAGTCTGATATAATATTCTTCTTCGTATTTTCAAGTCATTCCCTCTCAATAATTATTAACATACAATATTATCTTCATTGAACAAAACATTATAGAAAATTAAATTATTATAATCGAAAAAATTCATCATCTTTAACAAATTGTATACGCATACATATATTATAGATAGCTCTTTGAACCAGCTTACCTCCTGAATCCTGAGAGGGAAAGTTGAGGGGAGGGTAAAGGGTTTCGCGTCGGTCGAAATTGCAAGATAAATATACCCAGCGTTAATAAACTCTTATCGGCGTGCAACCATGCGTGTCGACTTTAAGCCACAGACACGATAATCCTCTATGCTAATTTCGGTCGGCCAGGAAAACGTTTCTGTAATGTCACCCCTTTAGGCACACGTGTCTGTAAGAGGGGATGCAAGCTCATATAGGATGCGTATAAAATGTTCATTAAAAGATATATTGTGATGTTGAAAAAGTTATATTGGTTTTTGAGTCCGGCAAGATAAATAATTTCAAATACGTCGTATAAAATTGTTTATAGTAAATTTAATTTAGAAGGATGATTTTGTGTCGACAATATATGTATACTCTTTGAAATTAGAAATTAATTAAAGTTATAGCAATTATAACAAACGTAAGCCAAAATAATCATTAAAAAGAATATCAATATTTCAGATTGATATATCGTAACTCCAGATCAATTTTAAAATCTATTGGACATTAGAACTTGTATCAATATAGTTAATGTGTAAAAAAAATAAGTATTTGTAAAACAAAAATATACAGGATTTTATTTTACAAATTTGACTAATGAAGTTTGATTATTAAAACCTGATATAGAAATATTTTACAAATTAATTATTAATGAAGTTTGAACAATTAGTAATGAAGATTAATGAAGTTGGATTATTAAAAGCTGATTAATGATACTGGACTAAAAGTACAGACTACCCGTTGAACTTTCTAATGGCATCTACATGGAAAGTATTTAAATTATACTATTAAGAAAAGTTCCTCTTACCCCAAAAGGAATGAATAAAAATTTATTTAAACAATTTACATGAAATTGTTCCTAAGAAATTTTATATTTTCTTACCAAATTGAATAACTTTTAATGGAATTTAATACAATTTACAAGAATTGTAAATTGTAAATTGTTTCTATTTACTCATCAAAGTTGTACTTTAATATAAAATAATTAACTTTCCATACTTGATTACTTAATTTGTTTAAATTCAATTAAAAATAATTTATAAAAACTATGATAAAACATTTCTATGACATTATATTCTGAAATTATTTCATTATTCTATAGAAAATTTTATTTTATTATTTAATTCAATACTGAAATATTTAAATTTAATAACCTTTATTATACAAACATTTCAGTTTGTTATTCCAATATATGTGTAAAATATAAGTTGTATAAGTAAAATCCAAAACTTACATAGCGTATAACTGTAACCATAATTAATTTTCTTTATTTGAACGTTTATCTCGCGTGGATTTATTCGAACGAAATATTTAACTGCTTGAGGGATAATAAATTCATGTGTAAAAATTAAATAATCGCATATCAAAGAAGCTTAATTATTTAAAAATTAACAATTCTTATATCAATTCATAGCAAATGAGCAATATAAAAAAAAATTGTTATTAAAAAAAAAAAGAAAGAAATAATAATTTTTCATCGATTTTAATAAATTCATCCCTCAAGAAGTTAATGTCCCATCTTTTTATATTTCTGAAATAAAAGAAAAAAAAAAGGGAAAATTTGCAAAACTACAAACGAATATTATTAAAAGAATAAAATATTCCGTGAAATTATGAAACGAACGTTAACGTCGATCCACTGTTTGCTGGATTTTAATAAAATCACAGTCACGATCGTGTCGCGTGCGCCACCGCTGTATCGATACTATACGGAACGAAATGTAATATGTGTTTCGTTTCGAGAGGACACTGATGAAAGAGAGAGAAAGGGAAAACGAAGAAATAAAATAAAATAAAAAAAAATAAAAAAAAAAAAGAATAGAGGATCGACCAAAAGCATCCCCGCGAGCAAAAATGCGAACTGACTCGGATATGCGAATTTTACCCTTGTATCATGCCCCATGCTTGTTTCCTGATGCGTGTCTTTCTAATGTGTTCCACCAACCGTGTTTTATCAAGTATTCACGATCGTTCTATTCCGATTTTTCATGGAATTATCACTGTGTAGAGAGATACGCCCTCCAGGATGAAGCATATCGCGCGGTCACAATGGTTGGAGTCTACTGGATTTTCATGGTAGCATTTACACAACGTGTAATCCGAAATCACCTATTAATGCATACGAATGAGACAATTATTATAATATTTGAACAGAAAATTGATGGATTTATGGATATAAAATTAAAGCAATAATTAATTAAAATATGTGATGGAGAAAATTTTAACCACATGTGATTGAATCACCATGTATTTTTAGATAATTATAATTTTGTATTTAATATGCTTCCAATCTTTTATAATATGTAATTTTATTTCGAGAATAATAGAATAAAATGTATAGATAACGAAACTTGTTCTTTTATGAAAAGTAAATCAGTTTTAATTTAATAGAAGATAATTATTACTCGATTGAAAATTATTAAAACTTGAATAAGTTTTACTTACCTCGACTTTTCTGATTCTCTCTCAATCGTTATTACTTCATCTTTTTTCTGAGATATGATTTCTTGTAATAGTCGCAAAACATACCAAACATGATAAGGATCTGCGACATATAAATATAGGCTATCGGTTTTCGATTTGGTTCACACGAAGGCAACAAAGTTTGAAACGTATAACATATCATAATAATAAACTGGACCTGAAAGCATACAAGAAAATATTTTCCATTTTATATTATTTCATTGAAATAAATCTTTCGTTTAAGGAAAAAAAGAATACCACGAATACTTTTCGAATAAATATTAATAAATAAATAACTTAATATGTATTCAAATATGTATTTAAATTATAAGATAATCTTTACGATTCAAGAAATTAAGGATTGAATCCATCCAAAATAAATTATGACTTTCAACAAATCATAATTTGATGCAAATTTTAAAATTATTAATTCATAAAATTATTAAAATAAACCGAACGTATTGAGTTTCGATCAAAAATCTGTTCATCTGTTCATCTTGAGTCTGATCAAAAATTCACAGAAAGAAATCGAAAAGAATAATTATAACAAGACGTAATGATATCGAACAATATTATTCACGTACAACGGAGTTTAATGAAATATCTCTTCGCGGTTCTACTTAAAATGGACCTCTAAATCTAACTTGACGAGATTCTCTTCGGTCGAAGTCTTGACTTCCACTCGTTACGCCGTGAAACGTTCGAAACTCGAAATTAAACGGCCGCGTAACCCGATAAATCGTCCTGTAGATACCTCACGGAGAAATAAAAGTTCCCTACCGACGGATAATTTAATTAAAAACCAGCGTTAGCCCCTCTTCTCGTTGTTTCCTGTCGGGATTCGAAACGCAAATCGAATCACCGCCGGTACACGTGTAATTCCACATCAGGCACTTACGACCCTTTCAACCTCCTGCGCGAAAATCCGGTTATCGAGTTAGGCAAGCCAAATGCGAGCCAATATGCACGCTAAACGAAAAACGCATATATAGGGTGTATACAAAAGATAAGGAGAAAGTTTTTAATATGAGTATCTACATAGAGCGTGAAAACATTTAAAGGAAACGAAAAAAAAAGTTGGTATGTATATTTGTTAATTTTCAAGTTGTAAATAATTTAATTTTGTAGATGAAATGTGGATGAAAGTCTGGCTATAATTTGGAAAATAAGCTTTAAACGATATCATTCAACTTCAATTTGGATTCATATTATTTTTCTATAATTTATATGTAATATATTTAAATATATTTATTTAAGTAAGTGATTGGATTAATTTATGGTTATAATTTTTTTATAGATTATTTATTAAAATTTATTAATAATATTTTTCTCCAACGAATTTGATACACCATATACATGCCTGATATATGTTTTCATATGCATTTTTATTTCGTGCTCGTCGACTAAAGCATATTGCACCTCTTAACGATGGAGATTGAAGGCGTGGTCGATATTTCATTGTTTTCCAAAATGCTCGAACAATGCTTTTTTTATTCATCTTGCGATTCCTGAATTTTAGAGACTCGAATGAAATTTTCAATGCAATCATTGGACGTCCAATATCTGATTTATTTTAATATTGTTTTGAAATGAAAATGTTTAGAAATTTTTTAACTTTTATAACTTCATTCTAATGATGATGATACAAGTAGTAAAATTTCACGATCAGCCAATAAATGGAGATAATTAATAATATTATATTCATGAGTTTTACCGTTAAATTTGAATAATTTTTTTACAATTCAAAATAATTTATATTCATAATAAAATGAGATAAAAAACTAATCTAAATATAATTAACTGAAATTTAAATTACAAATCAAATTTATTAAATTCGATATTATACAAACTAAAAAAATTAGAATTAGAAAAAAGTAATTGAAATTTTTACAGAAATAGGCTTCATCAATTTCTTGTGTTTAAATTACATGAATACAATGAATCTTCTGACTTCTAAAAAAATCTCTAAAAATATTCAAGATATGCATTCATTTAATAATACTATATTGAATCTAATATCTTATCAAAAAGCAAGACTCATGAACAAGCTCGAAACAAAATCAGTGGTGTCATTGAAATGAAAATTTTTAGATAAATTTATAGAGACAGTTTGGAATTTGGAAAATGTATTCACAATTCTATTGCAAAGATCAGTGAACCATTTGAAATGGAAGAATCTGTTTCAACAACAGAATTCCACAACAGCATTAAATTCTTGCGGCTGAGCCAAATGTAAAAGCTATAGATAACTAGATTCAAAAAATCTATTATGCAATTTTAATCTTTAACAATTCGAAAATCTTAGAAAAGGAACATTAGATCTATTCGCGTTTTAAATTGCTTTAAACAAGTTATGTGATAAGTTCTGAGATCGAGATGAAACAAAAAGTTTTTCACCGGAAACATGATTTATTTCCGGTGCTTCGTTATCCCTGAAAAACGTTGCTGCCGTACACCTTTTTGACATTTATATTTTACGACTGCGCGCATTTCATCCGCGATCCTTGCCACGCCAGTGAAAGCATAAAGAATAATTTCACTGTAACTGTAAAAATTGGTTCGCGTGGAACATATTGAATTCTTTATCACCCCATCGAATGGTCAATCCTTTTTCGAAAACACGCTATACATCTTTGAACCAATATTTCATTTTTTCTGCAAATATTGCACCAAATAACATAATTATTTTTCTCTTGAACAAGTACAAGTAATCAATCTTCAAGGAGGTTTCTTATTGTTATTAATAATATGAACAAATTAAAAATTATACTTACAAAACGTTGATCATGATGAAAAATTGCAATTGGAATTGCATTATTTATCGAATCTTCTCTTCCTTAACACTTTTTTCGAGTACTTTATCTTTAAAATTTTCTAATCAACATTGAAAAATATTATCAAGTCAGTTGTAGTAACAAATTCAATAATATCACACATGCGATTATTAATTTTGCTATTGAAATTACATTTAAATGAAATCAAACGAAAATTAAATAGATTAAATTACTACCAATAAATTTTCTCCCTCCATATTTAAATCTAATCTCACATCATTAAAATAATGTCCATGAATTCTTACTTCTACTATCACCACCATTTCTGTCAATTTCACAAACAGTTTCGCAAACGATCGAACAGCCGAATAGACGCGCGGAACGAATATTTTCTACGCGTTATTCGCTTATACATGGATTAATTTACTTAACCGATCCCCAGTAACCGATCGGCCGGGGCCGGGCGTCAATAGCAATTTCACGTTGGAAAAATTCGGCGCTGGACAGGGAATGTAATTTTGCGATTACGCGATACGAGGCCGTGCACGGTGAAATGAGCGAATAACGCTCCCAGCACGGCAATTCACCGGGTGCAACACCCAACAACACCATCCCCCGACACAATATATGCATTCCAGGCAATGTGTATGCAGCGTGGCAGATAGCAGAGCCAGATAGAAAATGGGAACGTACCATTTGTAAACCCGTAATGTATTGTTTCCAAGGCGCGATCCTCTTTTGCACTTCTGGGCCCAAGCAGGCGAGCAGATAATAGGTGTACATAATCACGTGCACGATGCAGTTTGGCATAATCGTGAACGGCCACATACCACCTGTAAATAACGCAACGAACCGTTTAACACGTTTCAAAGTGAGATGGTGAATAGTTACGAACGGGCAAAGTTACATTGGGCAACGGCCAATGGATTTTGGGAAACGGGAGAAAGGGAATTTTATTTACGACTGTTGGAAATTCGCTCGAATACGCGGTCTGACCGTTTTATATATCGTGTCCATTTTGTATCGGGGTAATAGGTAAATTTGATACATCGCGGGGCAATTTAATTTAGAGATATAGGATTTTTTTTTTTTTGTTTTTTTCCAAAATGCTTATCGAAAGTGTTTTAAAAGTTGGTGAGGATACACGTTGACGAGAGTAGGTTGGCTTTGGATTAGAATGAAAAGCTTCGTTCGACATATCTTCTTGTGCTTAATGAAATATTTTTAAATTAAATAGTTTCATTTAAGCATACAAGTGAAATCGTTGGAAAATTATAAGAAATTTAAGTTGTAATATAATAAATGATTATAAAAATATAGAATATAATTTTATAATATTTTTAACAATTAAATTTAGATTTGGAAAAGAAAGAAATCAAATTTATTGCATACATTTACCTGGGACAAATTTGCATGCTATCCAGGCAAGAAGAACGGTCGACGTGTGGTGATAAATGTGAAGAAAAGATGCTTGGTTGTATTTTTTCCTTAGAACGAAGATGATGGTGTCGCTCAACTCGAGGACTTTCAACATTAAGAGCCTCCACATCCATCGAGCCATCTATTAAGTACGATACAATCCTCGTAATATCGATATTTTCGTTTCTTTAATGCCTTTGGTACTTACACGATAAGATTTGGGATCATTCATAACGATATGAGGTTCGCATCCAAGAGAAAATTTTGTGGCGGATGTTAACAACTTAACAAAAATATATTAATCGTTTCAAGTACTGTTAATTTTTAAAAAAATGATGATTTGATCTAATGTGAATGACTCACCCCATAAAATACAGTTCCACTGGCAGTTGACATAAAAATATTGTAACAAATCATAATTTTGTTTAAACTATACGGTTTTCGATTTTTCATCCACAATGGGCCAAGACGAAGAACAAAGAGCAAATAAAAAAATATAATTCCCAGCAATGGAAATGGACTACTCATTAACATCCAATCTGCTACTCTGGAATCTAAAAAATAAAAAAATCAATAGGATAATATTATAGAAGTAAAATATGATTATAATATTATTGTTCAAATTATAAATATATGTATATTTTATGAAGAATATTTTAAATTTCATTAGATATAATGTAAAGTTTAATGTTAAATTAAAAAAAAATATAATTAAAATTAATTTAAAATATTGTACATAATTAATATAGATACAAAGGTATTTATGTCAAAGAAAAGAGGCTAACCTGCTGCATTTTCCATGACGTAACGATACGTTTCCAAGAGACTCACGTTCTACAAACAGTAAAATAGACATTGCATACGATTTTGCAAATACTAACAAAATTAAATAAAAATTGTGAAAATTAAAAATTACAATTATAAGTAAATTTTTATTCAAGAACAATTAATATCATAGAAATAATATAAAATAAAAGAACAAAAAATGAAAAGAGAGTTGCAATGTTGAATGTAGGCCATGTACTAATAAGAAAAAATATAATGCATCATAAGTAATTATAAAATTATATATTAAATCATATTAACACATAACTATGTTAAAAACTAAAAAATAATTTAAATAAAAATTTAAAAATTCAATTATAATTCAGAAATCATGATAAGGAATAAAAAAATAAATACATAATTTATCTTTTCAACAAAAATTAATAATTAATTCCATATTTATTTATAATGTATAAATAATAATACTTATTAGATGTAATTTATACATTACACGTTATTTGTCTGGGAATAATCTTTAAATTTCAATAATTCCAACTTCCTTTGAAAATTTTAAATTGTCAATTAAATTTTGGAGACGCAAAAAAAAAAAAACAAAATACCTGTGGCACATGAATTGGAAGAACCTTCCCATCCTGGCCATCGAGTTTGCAGATATCGACTGACATTCGGGTTACTGAACGATTCGAATAGTGACTATTGACGTTAAAACCGTCTTTCGTGGCGGCAACCTACTGTCTAAGTTCATCCGCAGGGCAAGCACCCCTAGCAGTGACTCGGGAACAGGAACGTAACACACAAGCACAGTTCCCTGTAAAGGGTTTCTCATATAACCTATTTTAATACGATAAAGAAATACGTTCAAGTCTAAGACAGCGTATTGTAATATTGCTTGAATATCGGTATGTAGATTGTTTCCAGTTATCTTTTCCAGTTAATTTTATTTTTATTATTGAAAAATTAAATATCAAAATATAATTTTGAAATAAAAATTATTATTGTATATGTAAATAAATTTAATAATTTTGAAGGAAATTGAAATATAATATTATGGATTATAATAATATTGGATTATTCAAAAATTTCAACTATGTCAAAAAATGTAAAATATCGAATATATTTAATAAATCTAAAAGTTTAACAAGAAATTTATATAAATTTTATGGTTTCAGATTACCTTATTTTTGAGATATTATATTATAATAATGATTTTAATTCTTCTCATCTCATCATGGTATGTTTGGCAGGCTTTTATCGGTATCCACGTATTATGTGTAACGCGAATTCGTTCAATTTTGTAATTTATGGGTCACTGTGGCATCGCAAAATTTTATGACCTTCAACAATCGAAAATCCTCGATTATCATCAGATCATCAGATATGTTTTTATAATTAATTATACATGCAAGCATTTCATATTGTTTACTAGAATTGTTAGTATCATTCGATGATACCGGTAGTTAAATATTAAGCATTTCATTAACGTGGTTTATATCATGAATGAAATGCAAATACTAGCAATGAGATATTTGAAATAAAATCCTATGGTATTTAACAATGATTTAAGAATTCAAAGAACTAATTAAAACATAAATTATCACATTGTTTCGTTTCTTGAAATTATGTATGAAAATATTTAGATGAATTATTTTAATGGACGTATTAATTTTTACGAAATAAAAAAAAATAAATAAATAAAGTCATTTTATTGTATTAATATTAACATATAAAATTACCAACAAAACAAATTTTTAACTAAATTTAATTATCTATGTATGATATTAGATATATGCGTATACATATTAGATATAAGCTTATATATACGCATCAATTATTCGTTGAATACTTTTTAAACTTTTACTGAAGAGTCTATGCATCAATTAACATGACATACATCCATGACTTTTGATTAAAATATGCAAAGCGATAACAATTATACGCTTCATACGCGTTACAAATGGACTAGTAAAAATATAGGTCACTAAAACTTTTGTTTCGAAGGAAACAAATATCGATTTTTTTGTTTCAATATTTGAAACAGAGTTTATGGAGATGAAAATGATAAATAAATTACAAAGTTTCTTTTTGCTATTATATGAAAAATATTATTTGTGAATAAATTTATGCGAAATTTTTTATTACGATTTCATTCCATCCGCATCTATCTTATATTTTCATAACTATCTTACATAATTTTAAATGAATACTTTTTTGCGTTTAAAAAGAATATCTTTATTAATAATATTACAAATTTATTAAATGCTGATAAAATTTAATAAAGAAAATTTAACAGCTGTCGTGAATTTAATAAATGTGACAAAGTGACATCGTATAGGTACTCTTTTAAAATTATCTATACTAATATTAATATATTAATCCACGAAATGTTATATATTAAAATATATAATAATCTAATAATATAAATTAATTGTACTTACATTATGTAATTTTAGAAATTCAAATAAAAACGAAAGTTTTTGAATGACAATTATTAAAAATTTCAATAAATTTAAAAAAATTTAATAAATTTAATTTATTTATCTTTCATCTAATTTTATCTCTCATAACAGATTCACAAAAGCATTTTCAATCAAATATAGAACATCATTCGAATAAATTATTTTCTATGAAACAATTTGTATTTAATTTTAAATGAAATGATTGTACATCGAAGATAATGGATCCTATTTTAAAATTACAAATCAGATATAACCGTTTCATTTCGACGAGATTAATCGTAAAGTAACAAAGGATTCCTTTGTTTTCGAATGAAAAACTGTACGCAGTAGCGATTGCAAGTCATTATGTTCCACATAATACAAACGTACTATAGATGTACATAGGGCTTCCCTATATGCTGTCACTTGAATGAGGATTAGTAAGACGGTAGGTCATGACATCACGGTTTCTACAACGAAGACATTCACGAATTAACTTCATACTACAGATGAAGTACAGATCTAACATTTAATATTTCAGATAAAAATTAGTGAATAATTTCAAGGGAAGCACATTATTTATATTTTTATAAATGTAGTTAGACGAAATGAGATGGAAATAAACTATTATATTTTCATCATACTTCCATTCTGTTCTTTCCTTACTTCATCTAACATAAATAATAATAAATAATCGACCAATATTTTTATATATCAACTTTTTAAGTAAACATGTGTAAATAATATATTTATAACATGTAAAAATTGAATTGAATAGACTCTATTAAAATTTTTAATCAATAGATTAGGCAAAGAAGACAATAAAGTTAATCAGATATCTGTCTCTTGATATATAATTTTAAAGGACAAGTATAAATAAAGAGAGTAAATTATAAGAGAAAGATAAATAAGATTTAATCATCAGCGCCATCTCTTTAGTATTGAAAATAATATTTTTAAAGAAGTACAATATAGGGTGAGAATCTAAAACTAGCGCCATCTCTTGAGGATTTTTGAAAAGATATTTTAATTCAAAAAATGGCGCAATTTCTATTCTATCTTATTCTGTTTAAAAAGAGATATGTTTAATACTCAAGAGATGGCGTTAATGTTAATTTTTATCCTATTTTTTTTTCTCTTATTCTTTATTCTCTATGTCTAAATTTATTTCATCTCAGACACTCTATAGATGGCACTGATTTTTACTATATCTTTATCCTTTTCTCACTATTTGTTCTTCTTATCTATTTGTGCTTTAAAATTTGTAAATTCTTTTTTTTGTTCAAGACGAGTTCGATATTTGCTCAATTTTATTTTTTTTTTCAGCAGAATATAATACAATAATGAAATAAAAATGAATATCTCAGAAACTAAAGTCGACCACTTATTATTTATTATTAAAATCTGTTGATTTTATCATCTTTTATGATTAAATTAAATATAATCCTAGCGTTCCTAAATTGTTATTAAATGTCTATTGTATCTTGTTTATTTTTGATACTTGGATATTGGAAATTTAATAGCGAATCCTAGATTAACTGACTTCTATGTTTAGTTAACTTAATTCAGATTGATTTTTGTGATTGAAATTCATTAATTTTTTCAAAAGGAATTCAATAAAACTTAATATCGTAATAAAAATTTCTTTCAAATTCAAGAAAAAGATTTTAATTAAAGATTACAATATATAAATTCTTTGTTATGATAATGATATATACTATAAAAAGCACAGAATGGAAATAGAATTTCATATTGTCATACTTTTTACAAATTATACTATAATAAAATAAAGATTAATTTAACAAATAACAATATTATTATGTATATTGTAAATTATCACATAGATTCTCCGAGATTTTCCAGTTCATCGAAAACATAAAAAATATCTTGTGTATCCACTCCTGAATTCTGAATAACAAAACGAAAGAAATTCGGTTTTTCGTGAAGTGATTGATAATTGATCATTAAACTACCCCTCTTAGTCATTTTTTCCTTTAACTTTGGTGCAACCTAATGAAATAATCAATTTTTATTAAATATATATTTTTATATACTCTTTAATATAATTTATTATTTTATATATTTAATATAATTTTAAAAAATGAATGTTTTTTTTAATATAAATGATTTCCAACATCAGATATTTTAAAATTGTAATTATTAATTATTAATGAAGAAAAAATTTATATTATTATTATCGAATTTATCTGTTATCAGTATAAAAAAATAATTATTCATCTAAAAAATTCTGAAGTTTTTAAATTTTAAAGTTCATTATCATAAATCATATATAAATCATCAATACATAATCATCATACATAAATCATCAACAAAAAACCAATTAAAGATATTACAAATAATTTTCCATATTATATTTTATTTTTTATAAAGATATTATTATATTTAAATAGATAAATATTATAATTAAAACATAAATAATTTATTAAACTCACCTCGTGTAATCTTTTCTTATAATCGTAAATTGAATTCTGAATCCTTAAAGTCGATGGAATGAACCAAAAGCAAACATTTATAAAACATGGATTTGTTACTAATTTAAATCCATCTCTTTTTTCCACTTCTTCTTTAAAAAGAGCTGATAGTTTCATTAAATGATCGATATGTTTTTCAAATCCTGAAGTGCCCTGAAAAAGATTTAATTTTAGTTGCACGAACAATATTTAACTCTAAGAAAAATAAATTAATTTCTTAAAGAAATGATATTTAAGATAATAAATTATGATATATAAAATGAAAAAATAGAAATTAAAAATTTTTGTTCATTTTATTTAAGAAACTAATATCATTTTAAATAATACTTTTAGATTTCGACGAAAGAAGAAACCTTTCTTATGTATACGTAATAAAAGAGTTAAATTTTGTTAAAAAATTTTTATACATCAATTTTTTATATATCAATATTTATATTTATATTGATATTTTTATATTAAATAGAAATATTTATTATAATTTATTTAATAAAATATTAAATCACAATTCACATAATATCAATGATATGTTTAAAAAACTACATACATCAAAATAATAAACGAAATAAAATATTTTTAAATAAATTTATTTATTTTTCTAACAATTATTGATTTAATAATCTATTAATAAATATAAGAAAGTAATCTACAAATTTTTAAATGAATATGAAAGAAAATGGAGTGTATATCAGTTTCTCTATTGACATGAGTGTTCAGTGATATAAGAATTAGAAGAATAAATTTCGTTCAGAAATAATTATAAAATAACTAATATTTAAAATTAATGCTGTAATATATTAATATATTTTTCTTAATTCTACTTAATCTTAAAACTTGATATAAATTTGATAGAATTATCTGAGAAAATAAATTCTTATAATTCTCATTATAATATTATTTTTTTAGCACTTTCAAATATTAAGATTAAAATTTGAAAGCTTATTATTTAACTCCTTAATATGCTAGGGATAATAAAATATGTAAATGTGTGAATGAGGGAAACTTTGAAAGTTACTGGTCTAAAAGCACTGCTATCGGCAGACCCCCTTGAGCATTTCAGGAGATTCTTTCATGATCTTGAAAATGTATTGAATAGATGCAGTATGAACATTCTTTATTCCTAACAGGGGAAGTTAATATATGCATAAGTATACTGGCAAACACTTGAAACATAGCATACAGACCCTTATCTTCTACGGAGTGCATCGCAGTACCTGCTTAAACCATAAAGTACAAGATGTACAATTAAAGGAAGATCAGGGGAAAAAGTGCTATGAAGGCTAGTTTTCCACATATTTGCATAAGTGGTTAACACTTAAAGATTAATAAGGGAAGGAAGAACCTATGTATCATGCAAGTAGATTTTATCTTTTACTCAAAGTATGTGGAACCTTGCATGACTCTCAAGAAAAGTGCATTTCTAAACAGAAAAAATTATCTACCAGAAATAAATCAAATAATTGCACATAAACAGAAACAAATTAAATTAGATAGTTTGTTCATAAAATTACCTTAGCCTGCCACATAAACCAAAGTTTCAATACATCTGGTCTGCGTCCACATTGTAAATACTTATCTCCCACATCTAAATCTATAGGATAAAATTTGTCTTTTTGAAAGAGATAAGGAACATGTTTAGAATGTGCCTCCTTAAAAATACTTTTATGTTTAGTTAAGAGTAAAGAACATTGTTGAGGAACTGCCAATAATTTGTGTGCATTAAATAAGATAGAATCTGCTCTTTGTATTCCTCTTAAAAGAACACTGTGTTTTCTACTGAATATCAAACCACCTCCCCAAGCTGCATCTACATGCAACCACATGTTAAATTCTTCGCAAATATCTGCAATTTCGATCAAAGGATCGAATGCACCTAGAACTGTTGTTCCTAAAAATAAGTAAAATTATTAGTAACAATTAAAATTATTAAAAATTTATGCCTTTAATTCATCATTTTTACATTAAATTATAGTTCAACGAACCTGCAGTGGCGATAGTAGAAAATGTATAATTTCCTTTTTTTTGTTCTTCTAATATCTTAATTTTCAAATCATTAATATCCATCCTGCCATACTCATCAGTTTTTATAAGAACCACTTCTATATCACAAACGTTTCCCCACTTCAAAATCGAATAATGCGCATCTTCGGATGTAAAAAGCACCAAGTTTGTAGATGATATATTTTTATCCTAAAAAATAAAATATGATTAAAGTTATTAAAAAATACAAATATTAAATTAAATATATTAATTATCATGAAATTTTCATAAATAGCTAATTTTAGAAATTTTATTTTACATTATTTTTTATCCAATTAAGAATAGATAAAAATATTTATTTATTATATATTGGAAAAGAAATTTTAAATAAATTGTATTTAATAAACATTATTTTATAAAAATAAATTAAGAAATCTATATAAGATAACATAATTATAATTTTTAAGAATTAGCAACATAAAATATACGATTGCATATGTTGAAAAACCAGTTTTTCTTATTTAATTTATCAAACGATTTTGCGATCACTGATACACTTTCAATGGTTAATAAAGTATAAATTATTATCGCAAGGCAACATTAAATCATTTAGAATATGATTTCGTTATCATATTAACTATTTGATTCCAGTTATTATCAGAATTATTTATTAATATAAGTACTCACATCTTGAATTTTTTTTCTAAACCAATATCGTGCCAAGTTGATAGCGATACCATTAGCAAAAGAACCTCCTGGGCAGAAAAGACCATCTCCTATCGTAGAACCATTTTCATCCTTGTAAAACATGTTTAACAGTTTTTTAATAACGGTATTTTCCATTAATGTTAAAACCGGTGCCACTTCGTAAGTATATACTGAACTATTTAATACATCGGTAAGCCATTGTCCAACTAAACCGTACGGATCCAATCTAAATAAATTTTGATCAAATAATATGTTTATATCATATGTTAATAACAAAAAATTTTAATAACAAAAAATTTTTTCTCAAAATATCTGAATCATTCCCAGTTAATAATTAAATGTACAAAAAAAATAATTTAAATTTTTTATTATAATACAATGAACAAATTAAATCATAATATGTTTAGACTTAATTTTGAATTTTCTTGTAAATATTAAAAATAAAAAACATCATGGACATATATGTAATATGTAAAAATCATTTATTACATATTTATAAATTAAAATATACTAAAGTTTAAATAGATAAATAATTAAAAGAAATTTTATTTATTCAGATCTGACTCACAAACATTTCAGATCTATAACAATTATATATCTCAATTCAAATTTCAAATTACAGTAAAACCAAATCATAGTAAATTCATAATAAAATATAAATAAGATATAATCATCTATTATTCTTGAAAAATTCTAATTAGATTTAAAATTATATATTAATCTATTACTATTTTAAACAAATAAGATTTGATACTTTTGTATTAGTCAGGAATATAATTAAAAAATCTTTTTATCATGAATTTTATAAGTATTTCATCAAATTATGTAATTATCCATATAATTATATCTATATTCATGCGCTTATCGATATCTTACCCAGAAAATAACTGATTCATAAAGTAAGGATGACCTGTTTTAACGCTGTATTTAAAAACTTTAGCCGCGATCTCTAGAAGATCATCTTGATTACGGGGCTGCTCTTGTAAATTAAAATTTATAATATCTTGCAAATGATTTGGTTCCCTCCATCTCAACACTGGATTTTCACGGGATACACTTTCGAAGGCGCAATCGATCAAAATCGCAGTAATCTTCTCGAGGAATTCTTTGTGCCTTTCGACGCATGGTATGCTCTGCCAATCCGACATTAAAATAAATGCTTCACGTTAGCGAGAGTCGCGAAAATGGGAAATCAACGCTGAAGCGAAAAACGCACTGATTCGCTTGCGATTGACCTCTATCATATATAAGCGGGTCACAAGGTCCTAGTAAATTTATGCAATTACTCTTAACAAGGAAACAAAAGCGCGGTATTCGGGGTACGAAATTGATGGGACATTGTGAACGATTTACATTGGATTAAACACGTGAATTCATCGCGCGAAATAATTTCGTTGAAATTTAATAGCGTACTTTGAAAGTGAAATAAGAATTCTAAACAATGGAGGGAAACATAACTGTTTATTCAAAATCATTTAATATTTATTTAATTCTCTATTATATACAAAAGTTATAATAGCATGTAAATATGTACACATAAAAAATTACAGAATTATATAACACAAAATATACTTTATATTCAGTCTTTAAATCCTTGTAATTCTCTAATGCCTAGAAGAATTAATTTGATATGAGCATTTATCTTGGCTATTTCTTTACGATAATGTGCAATCTGTTGTTCTAGAAGTTTAATTCTGACATTGATAACAGCCAGAGCATCATTTAATGAAAATTCCATGTAATGTCCTAAACCAATATCCAATAAAATTGTGGAAGCATCAGGAATATGCGCTTCAATAAAAAAATTTTGCCCAATATCTACTTGAGTTTTAAATCCATTTTTATCAAGGTTATTATTTTGAATGGTAGTTATCATAGATTTTAATTGAATAAATTCGGCAACATCTGCATTTTTAACATCAAGTTTCTGCTCTAATTGAGCAAGATCCTCTTTCAATACATCATTGACGAATGTTTCAAATTTGAAAATCTTTTGCTCAATGTCAGGATTCATAATTAAGCAGCCTGTATAAAAATCATAAAAATATTTCGTATCTATACGTATTATATTACTATAATCTTAACAATCTTAACAAAATCGTGAAAACAAATAATAAACACACAAAAAATAAAGGTTATGATAATTGTAAATTATATTATTCGTATAAAAAATATAATTTATCACGTGCACTTACCAGAAATATATCTAGATATTAAATCTTTTCACAATATACACTCTGTGTTTCTTATTATCAATTAAAATCAAAAATATTATAAAACATCAATAAATTTTGAGGTTAACATAAACATAGAACACATCAAAAATTCATTCTAACAATTTAAATAATTAAAATCAAAGTATGTAATAAAATATTTTGAATATTCTGTTTCAAAGGCACAAAATATATATTAAATAATACATAATTACATGTATTATTAAATAATTTTTAAAGCACATATAATTAAACGTTTATGAAAGTGCACTAAATTCTCCTGGTGGAATTTTGAGGAACTTATTGCTCCAATGATAAAACAGAACACAATAAAAAAGCTTTATATCATAGAATAGATATAATATAGAAGGATCATCTAACACATTTTTTAGATTAAGCTATATTCTGTCACATGTGATATTATCGACACCAAATAGAATGAGATAACAGTATTATTAATGAATGAAAGAAAAAAAATTGTATTAAAATGTAGTGATAATCAATTATCTTTGACATAAGAATAATAATCATGATCAATTTATACAACATCACAATCATATCTAACTAATTCATTTGAAATGTTTAGGAATTTCTGAAAAATGCAATTGTTTAGTATAAAAATGTCAAATATCTGTAGAAAATTTCTACAAGAAATAAAAAAAAAATATAGAAAATCTTCAATAATCAAAAACGAAAGAAATGATAAAATAATTCATTATTTTTGTATAGTGCTTTAATCAAAATAAAAATTATTTATTTTAACTTTAAATAAACTAAACAACTTTAAATAATTTTTTCGACTCACATTTATTAAAATCTTTTTCCTTCACTATTTACTAAAAGTTAAACTATCTTTTTTTATTATTATGTATATTTATTAAAGATATATTCTTCGATAGAAAAATTTTCTTCTAGTTTTTTAAATGGAACAACAAATGTTTTTAACAATAAAATAGAAAAACACAAATATAAAATATAATAATATCTTTCCATTTTTCATTTCTAAATAAAAATATAAATTATTTATAATATAAATCTGTTTAATTAAATGAACAATTTCTTTAATTTTTTTACAATTTTTTTTACATATTTTTACAAAAATGAAAGTTTTTATATATATATTTATATTTAATCTGTTTCGAACCATATATTCCAGGTATTTCTGAATATTAAAACATGTATATCACAACGTTTCTGAGATTTTTCAAGGATATCAAGATGCGAAATATTCAAATTAATCTTATAATAGTTATTTTTGCTAAATAGGCGTTATTTCTTATTCAAAATTGAGGATTTTATCTAACAAGTCACGAATTAATCGAGAAACATTCTATATATTGTTTAAATCCAGTGATTTTGAGTAATATTAGTCCCAGATTATATAGTATATATGGAGATCATATACTATAATGTATAATATATGTAAGCGCTTCTTCATATCGAAAATGCATGTTAAGTTGCTTCGTGGAGCTGAAGTAATATTCTCACATTTACCCTTCATCGAAGCGGAAAGGGCGCCATCTCTCGAAAAATTTCATCGATAGAGTGCTAAACCGAATCAAGTAGCTTGAATCTCGATCGCCTTCGGGCTCAATTAAGAACCATTCACACTTATTGATAACTTCAATTTCTATACATCTTTTATATCTTATTAAATCTATTAACTTATTTGTCTATTAATGATATTATTCATAATTTAAATAAAAGATCATTTAATTTCTTAATAAAGAGATATATAAAGCTAAAAATATATTATACATTATTTATTACTTTTAAAAGTTAATTTGCGCTTTTAAGATTAATTTATATTTAAATAGATTCACGTATCTACATATATTATAAGTTAAATATATGCTGAAATTATTTTAATATAATAATATCGGAGAATGAATTAGCAATATTCGTTTCTGATGCATTTTGTAAGTATTGCGCTTTTAATAGCTCTTTGGAAGCGAATATCAGAGAAGATAATTATAAATTCTGAAGCAACAAAAAGCGGAAATTAAAATATACCGAACAATTTCTTTTTTAAAGTACATCGGCTTTCAGATGAATTGAAAATGATTATTTTATATATTTTTATCTTTTTTAAATATAATAATATACAATTAATTGTTTTTATATAAAAAAATGATTTAACTCTATCATTTGAATATCATTTAATATCTTCATTCTATTTTTTTGTTATTCATGTTGATTATAATCATCAATTTAAAAGATATATTGTATTAAAAAATTGTAAAATGCTAGATTAAAATTTTGAATTATATAATAGATGAATCACTTAATATTAATTTACATTAATAACATTAACGAAGTGAAAAATAAATAAAATTTAAATAAAAATTAAATGATTTCGAATGATTGAATTTATATCACACGTAACAAATTAATTTAATCTTCAATAAACAGAACAGATAAAATAAATACTTATACATACATAATAAATCATGAAAATAAAATTGTTTATCTCATATCTTACTTTCTTTTTGTAAATATAACACCATTGCTGATATGTGTTATCTATTATATAATAGTCAAGATTGTATCACTATTCTCGCTATTCTCACGATTCAACATTAGTAACATTATTAGTAACATAATTTTACAAATATCATAAGTTTCCAATTACGATTCTAATAAATTTTCTTATATAACATTATATAACATTCTACTGTAAAAATAAAAGAAGTTCTACATTGAAAAAATTTTTATAAATTATTATCTTAGCCTTTTATTCCATATAAAAATATAAAAAATATTTTTCGGTTATCTTCTGGTGAAAGGACCAAAAGAACTTATATTGAACAGTTATTATCGATGAAGGAACCGTTAATATTTGATAGGATCGAATAAGATCTGACTCGAAATAAGCACATCGCTATCCCCACTTCTTTGAAGTCGCCCGCAGAAAGTGAGAGATCCGAGAACGAGTGAGAGGTCCGTGAAAGCGAGAAGCCATAAATCTTTGCGGTCGAATGAGCAGTGACATGGTTTAATACAAGGATAGGATATATATAATGCTTTCTCACTCTGACATGAACATATACATCCCGAAATAAGTAACTCACCCAGGACAGGCCAATTGTCGATCAGGTATATTAAAAATATTTTTACCAATAATTAGAATATAAACTAAAGAACAAAAATAAAATAGATATAATGTTAAAATAATTAATATTAAAAAAATATGAGCGAATGTAATATAGAATTAGCAAACGCTTTTCATTCAAGAGTCGCTTAACATCAGAGTAAGAGAATATATTCTATTCCTTTTAAGGGATAACATTGTTGCTTGATCAACAATTTTATGATTTATCGTTGTCTCGAGCCTTTTTTTTTATGTTTTTTTTTATGTTTTCTCTCTTCTCATACGTGAACAAGAAACAAATCGAATAGTATACTTGATATTTAAATGCCATATAAAGATATAAATAATTAAAGACAATGTATTACATGTACCTATGTAATTATTCTTTAATCGCTATTCCTCTATTTTTGACTAAAATAATTTCAAAAATTAATAAAACATTTCCAGCAATATAAATTAATTCATAAAGGAGAACTATTTTACAGCTATATAATTCAATCCTCAATATTAACCTAAGAAACTCTCTACTTCACTTCATCTTGTAATTAATTTCCTATATACCATAATGTAAAATGCGTATTCAACATCTTCGATTAGATACACCAGGTTTCCTTTATCGAGATAACGAGATTTTAATTAATAAAAAATCCACGCTACCGGTTAAAGGTTAACACTTCGTTATGCGACATGGAACAATCATCCATCTTCTTCAAACGTGTTTCCCATCAGTCTTGACAAGGAACCACGACGCTAGAGGGCGCGCATGTGTAAATGCCTGTATCTCTGCTCGAGTGGAAACACGCGTCGTAACCGGCATAAGTATGGGAGAATTCGCGTATAGGCCTATAAAAGTCCTCGCAACGTTTAACTGCGGCGTCCCAGGCATAAACTAAGGACTA